ACAAAAAAAAGTTCAAAACCAATTACTCATCTTTCATAGTTTGCCCTGAAGATGAAGCTGTTGTCCAAATTCAGTTTGTCAAGCCACCAAGCACTGAAGTGAAACCGTGTTTTCTTATGGTCAGTTACAAATCCAGGAAGTTTCAGCCAGGTCTCGTCATGGGAGTGAGCAGAAAATGGCTGTGGCAACGAGAGGGGTGACAAGGACAGGGATGCTGCAGCTTGTCTCTTCATTGTTCATTCATCCCAACTTAAAGCAGGTATCTGAGTTGGGCTTTCCTCACCTTTCCCTTCCCTGGCTCAGGAAGCCAAGGAAATCAGTTGAGGGTAATCACAGAAGATTGAAACTGAAGTTTAAGGAGATGGTGTCCACCCAAGATCCCTCCACTCTTGTGTTTTTCAGTGAAGATTCCTTACTGGGTAAGACTGGAAGAGGAATTTTTGGTTCACTAGCAGTTCTTGAAAATCATTTACAACAAATATTTTGGATGAAAGTGAAACTCAAGTGCTTCTTACAGCAAAGTAGAGAGGTGAAAAAAACTACATATCAGTCCTGAGATTTTAAATGCTTTCTGCTTCTATGGGTTGGTGCAACGTATTGGATATGCGAGGTTATCAAATGAGCCGCTAAAAATCTCTGGAAAAGGTTTTTAATTTTCTTTGGAAATTATTTCTAGTTCTTCAGGGCTTGGGAACTTTTCTGGAGTTGAAGGTACAATTCTGTAACTCAATACACAGACTTGCAAAGTTAGTTCTGGAGTCACAGAATTGATTTATTTTTACCTATGAAAAAGCAGGTGGGCTGAAAAATTCCCACCATGATTTCGGTAGGACTTCAGGCACAATTGTCTGACTCACCTGGGAGAAACCTGTAGAGAAAATATCCCTGATACCCCAAGGCAACACAGAATGCAGAACCCATCACAGTGTTCCATGATGGTGAAACTTCTGAAATCTGATGTCCTGCTGATGCTTTGGTATTCAAAACCCTGTGCAGCCTTTCCCCTGGTGGACTTAGTCTCCCCACTCCTCCCTCAGCCACCTCTTTGCATCTTTGAAACATCTTCCTTTACCAAACTCAGCTAGAATTCACCAGAAAGTTTATGAGTTATTTGGGGGTGTGTGTGTGTGTGTGTGTGTGTGTGTGTGATGGAAGGAATAACAATACAGTTGGTTTGTAAATTCATAAGAAAGCAAAGCACCAACCTCTGAAAATATTGAGAAAGGAACTTAATGGCTCACAGGGATGGTATTTGAACGAGGAGGGTCAAGGTTAAGAACTATCCCAAATAGCAGTAAAGTGTTTACAGCCCCTTGCCTTACTCTTGAAGCAATTCACATATCTCCGTCTTTCCCCTGCATCCCTACATCACTACTCTGCCTCCACCTACATGGTCCAAAAACTGCTTTCCCCCTAGCTTGAACCTGTTTTATGTTGAAACAGCCCCAGCGCTCTCTGTCATGTTATTCCAGATTCCCAGCAGCCCAAATCGTGCCAACATTCCAGTAACTGACAATTAATCTGCATCACACTCCAGGGCAGGCCTGAAGGCAGGGGTGGACAACCCTTTCCATGGGAAAGGCAATTCCTCAGTCCCAGAATGCGCACCATTTCAGCAGAGTGGGAGTGGATGCTCAGCATCACCCAGAAGCGGTGCAGGGGCTTGTCCTCGCAGTGGGCTCTTTCCCCGGTGTTGCTCAGAATCCTTGTGCCACCCTAACTGGGAAAAGACAAACTTAAAGCAAACTGACCCAGACTAAACAACAGAGTGATCTAAAAAACGGCCAGTCCCAGGTCTGGCCGTGATCCACGGAGATGAGCAGCCAGGTGACCACAACGCTCTTGCAGGTCTGTGCTTGCATCGGTTCCCTCGGGGTGACCAAGGGACAGCATTAGCTGGAGACCTGCTGCCCTCTGTAGGTGCCTCTGCCGTATTTCTAGGTTGTCTGGCTCCCAGGTGGCCCTTCAATAAAGTCAGAGGATTTTCCTGGTACAAGTCCCTCTGCAGGGAGCAGAGGCTGCACCTGGCTGGCATAAGATGGTGGTGGTGGAGAGCACCACAGCCTCCTCTCCCCATCCCAGCCTGGCCACTTTGCTTTGGGGGAAATGCATTTTGCATGCAGTGACCAACCGAGAAACAACCACTGATGCTCCTGCAAGATGCTCCCAGCTCGTGGTCCCACAGACCAGCCATGCTCCCTTGCTGGGAGGTTCAGCTCCTCCGTGCTCTGATGGCAGGATGCCTGCAAGGAGAAGTTCACCAAAGCCATTATTGTGGTAGAGGAATGGCCATTTCTGCTTGTTTCTGGTGATACAGAGGCAGGTCGGCAGGTCCAGATGAGATTTAGCCGGGTATAGGACACACCTACCTTACAGCATTTGTGGTGCTCACATTGACACAGGAGATCTGAGTTCCCAAGAAAGTCTGGAGGGAATTATCACTACAGCAGGCAGTTCTCAGCTGGGGCTTTGCAAAACCACATCCCAGCAAGGACCCAGGCTTGGATCCAAATATTCCCAAGGATTCGAGTGTCCTCTGGAAGAGATTCTGTGCTCAGGGATGCTGTGGGATGTAGCTCTGGGAACTGGCAGCTTCTGCATCTCTGAGTGCAACAGAAAGGCCTTGCTTCATCTGAGCGAAAGAAAAAAATCTAAGCCATAGGTACGAACAGCGTTAGTGCTGCACGGGTTTATTTTGACTCATCACATCTAAAATCTCATGTGTCTGCTGCAGGTGGTTGGGGTTAGAGCCTTATCACTGGGAGCATCACTACTCTTCAGCAGCTCCCCACCACAGTTTTTTTGGGTGAAGAAAACTTAAACAAGATAAATTTAAGCCAAAACCCATTCAAAATTTCAGAGGGACCTGGCTCCAGCCTTTCACTGGTGTCTTACAGCAGCTCATTTGAAATCCATTACACAACTAAATTAAAAATAAACATTTACAGAAGAGGGAGCGGGTGACAGTGTGTGGTCTGTTCCTGCGATGAGATTGATGTCCAGCCTTGGTAGTGACATCTCTGCTAGTGAACTAACCCATGCTAGACCTGCTCTCTGCCCCTGAGGCCAACTGACCCTGTCTGGCCATGACCATGAAATTAAACGCTCTTGGCTATCAAATTTGGGTGGCTGCATCCAACTCGTCTGTCGGGAAGGAGCCCTGGTCTTGCTCATTCCTCAGCCATGTCCCGGGATTGCTCATCCCACGTCAAACCCAGTCTGGGGACTGTGTTTCACCAGGCTCCTGTGCCCGTGCCCATTCCCTGGCGCCGTTCAGTTCATGGGCACAGGCCCAGTTTTTGTTTTGAAGAGATGTTGCAGGAAATATTGAGCCACCCGTCTACTGCTAAGAGCTTAAATGCAGCTGTAGATATGTCAGATGGTTTTAGCATGAAGGGAACAGCTCTTCCAACCTCCCCACTCCTTCTCCATCGTCAGCAGCCCCAGGAAGGGCGGGTGCAAGCCGTGGGGTGCCCGCCTGCAGCACAGCGAGAGCTGATCACCAGACTGAGTTTGCATATGCATATCTGAAATCTGACAAAAAGGGGTGCTGGCAAAGAAAAAATAATTGTAAAAATTGCATTTGCCTCAGCAATGTGAAAATGCTGGTCTTCACTCTTTGACTCTGTGCTGCTGCATCTCACAGGGCTCCCGCTCCCCCTGCGCTTGGTGCTGTACTGGCACAGACTCTAAACTACTGGGGGGGTCTGTAGCACCCCTGGTCTGGCTGTCATTTGAAAGGAGGTGGGAAACCCTGGCCCTGCGATGCATTTTGTAAGGCCTTTGTTGGGATGCCAGACTCAGGAAAGGGCTGTAAATCTCTCCCCGATGCCCGTGGGGGAGAGGAGGGATGGTTTAGGCAGGAGAAGGGTAAAGAAAAAAAAAAAAAAAAGAGGCTGTGAGGAGGCTTCTCTCACAAAAGCTGAATGTGGGAAGGGGCCTGTATGGTTAGGTGTTGATGGCCAAGCTTAACCCTTCACACGACCAGGTTCACAAACACGGCCAGTGGTACTGCGACAGCAGACGTGCAATAGCTGCACACCCGGGACGGGTGTGTGAGATTCTTTTGAGAGCTGTCCCCAGGCTTCGAGGAGTTAACCGTCAGCTTCTGGTGAAGGAAAGAAACCCCCTCTGTCCCCTGCCTTTGCTTCTGGCCCCGAGTCAGCCAGCAGCTGGGGCATGTGCCTCTATCGGTCCCTCCTTGGAAGCAGTTAAAATCGTTTCCAGTCCCACTGGGGGACACGTGGGAGCAACAGGCGCTTTCCCAGTACAAAAGACAGGCAAAGGCCGGTTTCTGAGCTGGTTTCTGTCTGGGGATGGATGGTGCCAGCAAGCGGGTACTAACCACAGTGCCCCGAGATACCCACCCCAGGGCTTCCCGGAGATGCTGATGCAGCCTTGCAAAACTCCCCCTCCACACACATGCTGACCCCTGGGCGAGCCGTGGCATCTGGAAAACGTTATCCCAAATCTCTCCTGAGTGCCAGAGGACCCCAGGTTCCTTTGGAGAAGGGCTCATAGCTCTCCACGGCGTGCAACGGGAAGAGCCGCGGGGACACCAGCCCAATTCTTGTCGGGAAGAGCCACAGGCTCCTTTGGGAATACACCAGCTCTCCGGGCATCTCCTGAAAGTCTTTTGGGTCCCTGCCCTCTACAAGAGCCCTTCATCCCTGTTACCACGCCGAGGGCATCGCTACCCCTCCTCCCTCGTTTGGGTGCCGGAGTCGGAGGATGTTTAGGACCCGGGCTGTGCAGCTCCTCCCTTTCAGGTCTCTCCAGGGTTATTGCTTGGTGGGAGGTAGGTTCAGGGCTTGGTGGTATGAATGAAAGAGAGAGAGGAAATCTGGACTGAAAAGCTCAAACTGGAATAGCTCGCCTGTCTCCAGGCAACAGGCCTGACGCAACCGCTGGAAAAAAAAAAAAAAAAAAAAAAAAAAAAAAAAAAAAAAAAAAAAAAAAAAAAAAAAAAAAAGAGTCCCTTAAATAAAAAAAAAAAATCACACACACACACAGAGATTTCTGAAGCGAGACAGAGAGGAGGATGAGACAGTCTCCTGGAGGCACTGGTGACACCGCTCTGCAAATACCAAGTTGGAGACCGGAGGCAGAAGGAGGGAACCAAGATGTCCGTGCAATCTTCCCTCTGACTCGGTCCCCGGTAAGTTTCTTGCTCGCGTTGGCTTGGCCATGATGGGGCTGGGGTGGGGGGGAGCACAGCCACCCTGGGGACACCCCGCTGCACCCAGGACAGGAGCTGTCTGAGAGATGCTCCAGGCCCCCCCCCCCGGCTTTTCATTCTGGGAGCAGCAAGGAGCAGATCTCTAGGGAGCATCGGGGGTGGGGGGCGATGGGGACCCCCTTGCATTGTGAAGTTCAGCACCGGTGTGCTGGCTGTGACATGGTGGGGCTGGGGGGCTCGAATTGTGTGTGTGTGTGTCCCCCCAATCTCCTGCCTCGCTGAAATCCCCTGGAGATGGCCAGCACGGTGGCTCCCAGTTGATTGGGACGGGGGGGGGAGTCCCCATCCCTGGATGTATTTCGGGGTCGTTTGGGTGAGATGTTGGGGGATGTGGGGTAGGGGAGAACTTTGTAGAGTCGGGCTGAGGGTTGGACTCGATGATCCCGAGGGGCTTTTCCAACCTGAGCGATTCTGTGTGAAATCAGGGCAGGGTTTGAGTCCTGCTTTACGATGAGGCTTGTGGATTTTGCTCTCAGCTGGGAGTGGGGTGGGGGTGTTCAGCGCCTTCAAGGGGGGTTTTCTGCACTGGATGAGGTGTAACAGGGAAGAATCTGGCCAGGTTTTGGGACGATCACCTGTTGCTCCCTCTGCCCCCTCCCCGAGATTTGCAAGAGCCCTGGAAAGGTTTGTCGGTTTTTTGCGGCGCAGACATAATGGGATGAAGCGCGGTGGCCTCGCAGGGCGTAGCTACCTTTGATTTTTGAAGCAGGCACTGTGTGCTGAGCAGAGCAGGTTTCCACCTGCTCAGGTCTGGCCCTTTGCAGCTCGCGTTAACACTGAAGGGGTGGGGGGAGGAAATAATAATAATAATAATTAAAAAAAAAATCACCCAGAACTTCTTCAGAGCCCTTTATAACAGCTTGGGGCTAATTGCTAAAATAATACCGTCAACCCACACTCCTCCCAGCACAAGCGTTTGTGCAACCCCAGCCAGTGTGCCCTGGTGCGATGCACACCCCTGCACCCACACCACCCAAATCCTACAGCCTGCACCCTCTCCAGTCCACCCAGACTGACACCTCTCCCCCAGCCGGCAGCCCCTCCCTATTTTCCTGCGATGCTCCCTGTATTATTCGGTACTGCTCTGCTTTTCGGAGCTTTTCTACATCAGGGACCTTAGTGGAGAGAGGGATAAAATGGATGAAAAGCAAGTGCCTTGTTTCCAGTGAGGAGCCGTGTCCAGCTGAGTCCTCTGGCTTTGTCTGCTCATCCCTTGTATCCTACGGACTCCCCACTTTCCAGCGGGAACAAGCCTGTTTTGGGTGCTGGGGGTGCCAGCCATCATTTCAGCATTCTGGGGCTGTTGCTGTTATTTGCATCTCAGGTCTCCCCCGCTTTCGAATGCCCACTGCAGTGGTACCTCTTCACAGGGGGATTTGTACGACACAAAAAATAAAGCAGAATGGGAGGGATCCGGCTTCTCCCAGGCTCTGAGCTTTGCAATAGCTCCGCAGCCATTAGGTGTTTGCAAAATGTAGCAGAGATACTGCAGGAAAAAAAAAAAAAAATTACTCAGCCTCAGAGTAATGTAGCCTGTCTGGGAGAAGGGAGGGGAGGGGGTCTGTTTGCAACCAGCTCGCCTTAAATAATATTAAATAAGAAAGTGCAGCTCAGCAGTGGGAGAAGGCAAGGTCTGAGTGCAGAGGTTGTACGATCATTGCCGGGGCAGCTGCCAAGGCGGGTAATTGGATGGGACAGGGAGCATGTAAAGGGGATTAGGGGATCGACGGGGGGCTGACCCCGCTCCCCCGATCACTTTAACTGGGAGCTTCGGGGTCTTGAATTGGCCCTGGCACTTGTCTCTGCAGAGGATGAGCTCAGTGCTGGGCAGAATGAAGCCCAGCAAAGATGGAAAGAGGTTTGTTGGGGGTTTTTTTTGTTTGTTTGTTTGTTTGGGTTTTTTTCTGAAAACACACCCTTCTGCCTTCCATGCTACATTTAGGGAAAAAATAACTCCCTGTGCTTGTCTCCTGGGAAGAGAGCATTTCTCAGCCTGGCCTGGCTCATTCCCAAGGAGTCCCAGCCCTTCACATTACCCTGGGTGCACAGGCACAGAGGTCCTTGTCTGCTCTTTCCTTGCTGAAACACAGCTGTGCTTGGGATGGAAGAAGAGAGAAGGGAAGGAACTGGCTCTGTCAAGCCACAGGTCCTTTGGGGTCATCTCTAGGGACAGCTTAGGTGTGCCACCTCCAAGATTAGATCCCCAAACCTGCCAGGACCCTGGGGCAGTGCATGGAGAGTAACCCTTGTCCATAATCCATGGCTCTCTTCGCCTCAACAGACTTTACCAGAACATGACTAGGGTGGACAGGGTGTCTTCACCAAGAGGATGTAAACTTGCCTTTGCTGGTGTAAACTTGCCTTTCCTGCTACTACTGCTTACTCCCTTTCTCTTGAAGAGTAATTTACACCTGGTTTTGGCTGATGGGCTGAGAGCATTGACCCAGTCCAGCTTCCCAGTTTGCTAATACTTCCCTCTCACTGGAAGACTGGTTTGAGGGAATGTCAAATATCTGGCAATGCCCATCTTCATGCAGGATTTCCACACAACCGCTGGAAATCTGCTGATGGAGGGGAGCTGAGCTGCTCTGAAAATGGAGCTGCTAGGGTCCATCTGAAGCAGGCAGCAATCTCAGCCTTGCTTCCTCACAAGGATTTTGTGCGGGGGGTGCAGGAGGGATAAGACGCCAGGAAGGTACAGATGTATTTATTGAAACAGGTTCTGACTCTACCAGTGATGCTGGAGATCAGCCAGGAAGAACCTTAGGGCAGGGAGTGCAAACTGGTCCCCTCTTATCTCTGCACTTCTGCTCTTGTCAGGCTGGCGGGTTTTCTGCAGTCCCCCACTGCTCTCCCCTCCTCCTTTCATTGCAGTGTTTAGGGGGGGGGGTTCTGGAGGTGATTTGGGCAGAAGGACATGCCAGGGGGAACCTTCACCCTGCTCCAGGCTATACATGAGTGGGAAGCCCCACTTCTTCCCCCTTTCCCCCCGTGTATCTGTGAATGCCATGTCCACATCCCGAGGGCTGAAGCAGGAGGGGCTTCTTCCCTGCTGCTGACCTTAGCACCCAAACTGTCTGGGAGGTCTTCTGGGGGTTTGTTCATGGCACTAAATGGACAGGAATGTCCACGTGCACTCAGGATCCCGTTAAGCTGGGTGCTGTACCCCATATCTGATCCCACTGAGTGGGGCAGCTCTGTGACCACCTCTCCAAACGCCTGCAAGGACATTGCATTCTGGATCAACTCAGAGACAGAAACTTGGCCTCCTCCTTGGGCTTTTCTCATGTATTAGGCTGGAAGTCATGTCTGTGAGGGTGTGAAGGGACACAGTCGATGTGGGCAGCCCTGCAAGGAGGCCTGAAGGTAAAGTCACCAGGCATGAACCTGTCTCCGTGCTTGTGATGCCCAGCTTGGTGGTTTCAGTGTTATCATCTCGTCTCTGGAAGAAGGGACAAGTTCACAGCCCACATGAGCGTGGCCAGGAGTTCTCCATGGGCACTATGTCCAGTGGGCACTAACTGAGGGCTGGGGGTTCTGCCCATCTCCATGGGCAGACCCCCTTCCATCCTGCCCCAACCATGACAAGCAGGCAGAGAGCATCTGATCCTGACAGCACCAGTTTCCACGGGGGCTTCTGCCCTGGGGGGAGTCCTGGCCTCAGGATCAGGCAGATCTTCAGGCTGCTGGAGTCTTCTCTTTTGTGGGGAAGGGAGGCTGAAGGTGACTTTGGGACAGGCGAGAAAGGCTTTTGGGAATCAGATCAGTTTTCTGCAGGAGCAGATTTCAGGTGCCACAGAAAAGGATTGGGTGGCCAAATGCCGGGTAATAAAACCCAGGGAGATCGGCTCTCCTCTGGGTCAGGGGGACGGCCGGGGGAGCGAGCTGCTCTCCCTCTCTGTAGGAGCCTTGTGCAGAGCAGCACGCTGCAGCTGCGCTGCTTGGGGGGGCTGTGGCAGGGGACCCTAGGGGGAGAGGAAGAGCCTGAGCTCACCAAAACCCACAAGCCCATCAGCTCCCTTCCTGAGGTCGTTTTGGCATGGGGAAAGGAGTGATTCATGTGCAGCCTTCCTGAAAGGGAACTCCAGGGGGCTGCGGTGTTGACCCTGATGGGTCTCCCCTTCCCTCACCTGCTGCCCTGGACCTCAGTGTCTCCACTGCCTGGAGGATGCTCAGGAGCCTCCATCCACCACCGTGCAGCAGCTGGAGTCCTCCCTTACTCCATTGCTATGGCAACCCCCTTGCACAGGCATCTCCTCCTCGCTGCCCCGCTGCCAACCTGCTGCAGACCTCCGGGGGAGGGGGGTCAGCCATCCCCCCCCCCCCCCCC